ATAGAATAGAATAGAATAGAATAGAATAGAATAGAATAGAATAGAATTCTTTATTGGCCAAGTGTGATTGGACACACAAGGAATTTGTCTTGGTGCAAATGTTCTCAGTATACATAAAAGAAAAGATACATTCATCAAGAGTCAAGAATCATAAGGTACAACACTTAATGATAGTCATAGGGTGCAATAAGCAATCAAATCATACCAGGAAACAGTCAATATAAATCATAAGGATACAAGCGACAAAGTTACAGTCATACAGTCACAAGTGGGAGAGGATGGGTAATAAGGAATGGTGAGAAGATTAACAGTAATAGTAGTAATCATAGCAATCAATCAGCAACTGTTGTAATCACAGTTAAAATTAATCAGTTATATTGACATAGAGGTAAATAAGAGGCCCACTTCACATGTATAGCATAATTGAAGACTATCCTTCAAAATTATTATTTGAATCTACAATTTTCACAATAATACTCCATCACCATCCATCAAAGCAGCCCTTTCAGCATCCTGGGGAAAAATGATGTCACCGCTTTAAGATTTATATCATCTTTAATCTTTGTGCAAGGTCCAAAGAAAATCTTCCTCTATAGTCCTTGAGATATACACAGCTGTACACAGTACTCAAGTGTCCAAGTCACATAGATCTTCCAAGGCATATCCAAAAGGACAATTTAGACAACCAGGCAAGTCCTGAAATCAAAACATAGGTAGCGCTCTATTAGAACAAGTTACCATAGAGTATATTTCAGTTGTAATTGTTCTCTTACAGAATCTAAAATGTTAAAAGATCTCCACCCATCTGCAAATATAGTTAGTACTAGGTACTATGCAACATTTCAGATATGAAGGGGGAAAGCTACTTGGAGCACATTAAGAACTCATGTTGCATCTGCTGGCAACTCTACAAAGCAGTTGTAAGTGGGAGTAATGGAACCATATCTCATGCTGCAATATATTACTAGGAAATGTTTAACTAAAAAAGTTGGTGCCAAATATTGCATGGTTGTCCTTGCATGCTCCCTATCAGTCTTTCCTTTCAGACCCAAAGCATTTCACTACATAGCTTGAGTTGGGTCTACGCCAACTCGCCACAGCCAACTCGCTGCAGAACAAGAGTTACACCAATATCGAAGAAATAGTGGAGTAGAATCATTAAAGAAAGGAAGCCAAAGGAGGGACAAAATGAATTGTGAATGACCAAAATTAAAATATGTTTTTAATTATTTCATACAATTAAATTGAATTTCCTACAGTGAGTAGCCCTGTGGTGAGTTGGCCATGGCAAGTTCTACCACAGTGACTTGGCTGTGGTGAATTGGTTATGACAAGTTGACCGTAGCAAGTTGGCCATGGCGAATTGACTGTGGCCAGGGGTGGGATTCAATTTTTTAAACAACCGGTTCTGTGGGTGTGGCTTAGTTGGTGGGCATGGCTTGATGGTGATGTGACCGGGTGGACATGGCTTGGTGGTCATGTTATTGGCTGGGCATGGCCAACTCAATATCACTCACATCAAGGCACGCATCTCCTCGCCTGGCCTCTCACGACTGTGGGGATGCTGCAACAGTCGGAAGTGTGAAAAATGGTCATAAGTCACTTTTTTCAGTGCCATTGTAACTTTGAATGGTCACTCCACACAAGCAAAGTACCAGCAAAGGAGGAGAAAAAACTCCAGAGAAGTTCCTGAGACAGGAAGTCTAGTCCTGCCAAGAATGTAATAAGGGTTAACAGAGAGGCAGTTTCTGTAAGCAACACCAGAATGTTTCCTTCCTGCCTTCCTTACAGGATTAGGCCAGTAATTTCTTCTAACAACTGGTTCTCTGAACTGCTTAGAATGTTAACAACTGGTTCTAGTGAATAGGTGCGAACCTGTAGAATCCTACCCCTGGCTGCAGCAAGTTGTCCTATTCTGGCCTGAGTTAGCACTACTCATCATTGGTTGCAGAACATCCCTCAGCCCTTGGAATCATTATGGAATTTTGCTGGTGTTGGGAAGCCAGATCTTTGTATCAGCAGAAAAAGAATCCATCGATGGAGAATTAAAAGCTGTGTTTATTTCTGCCAAAACTCAGAACTTAGGACTGGCTTTCCAGAATCAATTCCGCCTCCATCTTCCTCTTTCTTAGTGAAGAGCCATCTGAGAATGCCATTATATTGTTTTTCAAAAGCTAAAGGAGGAAGTTAAGTACACTGGGCCAATGCACTTTCCTTCCATAGCAACGGATGACCTCATATTGGTAGACGCAGATGTCTTCCAAAACATTATGAATTTTTTTCCACCATCCAATTTGTGATAGACATAGTGAGATGAATGTAAATCTCAGTGACAGTTGTATGAATAAATCTCTCCAGATTAAGCCTAATACCTGCACGATATTTTGCATTGCAAAAGAATAATTCTAAGCATCTGGTGCTCTTTTAAGGAAAAAAAATAGTAACTTCTAGATTTCAAAAATGATTTCTTTATTTTCAGATACCTAAGTTAAGCTTCCAAGAATTGGCGATTTTTAGCATAGGATTAGCTGAGCATGTGTTTTCTTTCTGTTCTCAAGTTTGGAATGCTTAGCACATAAACCACATCTTTTTGTCTCCACAGCTTCATGCAGAAAAATGGCCCTTTGGAGTTGAACTATGTAAATTATTCCCCTTCTTTCAAAAGACGTCTGTTGGCATCATAGTGTTAAGTCTATGTGCTCTCAGTATTGATAGGTGAGAAAACAATTCTTTTTGTTTTTCTTAAATGATTTGAGTATTGTAAGTGAAATATTAGACACAGAATATGTGGATGCACACCAAAAAAGAGACCTTAAGAAATAAATGGGTGTGTGGAATTAAAAAAGGAAGAGATAATCCTCCGTATTAAGTAGAAGAAGTAACAAACATGAGAATGGAATATGTATAGACTTCCTAATCTTCTCATTTTTCTCCCTGGAGATTGAACTTTTCTACAAATGCTGTTTGTTTGGAAAATAAGCTTTGAGAAATTACTTGAATAGAAGTCACACAAAAATAAAGATCCCAAAAGTAAATAGGAGATTTAAAAAATTAATAAAACCTAAATAAGAATATTGGTGGTGCATTCTTCCCTTCCATTTATTTCACTAACCACTACATAAATATTTGTAACTTTGAGCATTAGACTGGGAGATTAATGCTATTATCAGTTTAAGTAATTTCAACCATTTTTTAAATAAAGATATTTTTTTGCCAACTATAGAACTACTACCGAGGAAAGACTGATGAGATTTGAAATGCTTTTGCTAATCGGAGCACCACTGACAAACTGGAAGTTGTCGTGCCCCAGCTCAAAATAGTAGGGAACGTTGCAGAGCGGGGGGCCTTGCTCATTTCAGTCTAATGAAAGCAATCCATGTGATAAAAGCATATAGTAAACAATTAATCACAGAGATGGTATTTTTATGGTACATTTTACGTTGTGCGTGAAGTATATCCTGATTTCAGTATTCCATATTATAGAGCCAGTTTGATTCTCTCCCTAACTGCTTTCCTGATCCCTTAATTGTCCTTCCAAGTTATTGGTATACAATTCCCAGGTTTTATGGACCTCATGGCCATGCCCGAGCTCTCTGATCACCCCAGTTATAGAGTTGGAGATAGAGGGGAGCGTCAGGATAGACAAAGGAATTGTTCAGAGCCTGCTAGGATTTAACAATGGACAGCTTGGATTAGCAAAATTACTTTCATGTCTCTCTCAAAGCTCTGTGCCTTCTTCAGCTACTGCTGCAGTAATAGGATATTCTTCTGCTACTTCAGCAATAGTGAAAGTTCAAAATTCCATGAATGGAGAATAAAGTACAGTTCTTTTCTGTTTAGTATTACCTCTTCCCATACCTGAGCACAACCTTGGCCTAAGGAAAAACCCAAACCCAACGGTTTGATATGGGTTGCACTGTGACATGATAAAGTTGAACTAAACCTAGATTTTTTTAAAAAAGGAAGAACCAAAAGTTGATGGTCCCTCACATCAGTCAAAAATAACAAAATATATGTACATATATGGAAGATGGGCTGATATTTTTATGTTTTGTTTATGTATGTTTGTTTTAAAAACCAATAAAAAATTATATATATAAAAAAAGAACAAAATGTCACCCCGATATATTATAGCACCGTGATGGCAAACCTATGGCATGGGTGTCGGAAGTGGCATGCAGAGCCATCTCTGTTGGCACAGAAGCTGTCGCCCCAGCTCAGTTCCACTGCGCATGTGCATGTGCCTCCTGCCAGCCAGCTGATTGTCGGATATTTTCTGCGCAGGGGCCGGGGTGGGATTCAAATTTTTAACAACCAGTTCTATAGGCGTGGCTTAGGTGGTGGGCGTGGCTTAGTGGTCATGTTATTGGCTGGGCATGGCCAACTCAACATTGCTCACATCAAGGCACGCATCTCCTCGCCTAGCCTCTCATGACTGTGGGGATGCTGCAACAGTTGTAAGTGTGAAAAATGGCCATAAGTCATTTTTTTCAGTGCCATTGTAACTTCGAATGGTCACGCCACACAAACAAAGTACCAGCAAAGGAGGGGGAAAAACTCCAGAGACGTTCCTGAGACAGGAAGTCTAGTCCTGCCAAGAATGTAATAAGGGTTAATGGAGAGGCAGTTTCTGTAAGCAACACCAGAATGTTTCCTTCCTGCCTTCCTTACAGGATTAGGCCAGTAATTTCTTCTAACAACCGGTTCTCCAAACTGCTTAGAATGTTAACAACTGGTTCTAGAGAATAGGTGCAAACTGGCAGAATCCCACCCCTGCGCAGGGCCGGGGCGCATGCGGGAGACGCATGCGCATGAGCAGGGGGCAGGGGAGTTGCACGTGCATGCAGAGGGGGGCGAGAGAATGGGGGGTTGCATTTTCGGCATACTATGACAAAAAGGTTAGCCTTTTTGAGCAGTGGGCAATCTGCCATCCTACAGATGTTTATGAATTCTGTCTGCTGTCATCTTTCACCATTGTCCATGCTGACTAGAATTCATGGAATGGGAATTGACCAATATCTGAAGATATAGGTCTTCCAACTAATGGTTCTTCCCAAATGATTTGGTTTATTGTTTATCTGCCACATATAGTTTAATCAGTGGCCCAGAATTATAGCATTTCTGGTGCAAAATATCCACAGAGCACTACACTAAGAAAGATTCGCCTAAACTGACCAAGGTTCTCTCTTTTTATATATTTAGGTACCGAGCTGTTGCTTCATGGAGCCGTATCAAAGGAATTGGGGTACCAAAATGGACAGCAATTGAAATTGTTTTGATCTGGGTTGTGTCCTTTGTTTTAGCTATTCCTGAAGCTATTGGCTTTGATATCGTTACTATACCATACAACGGGGAGGGGTTGTCTACTTGTTTACTTAATCCAGATCAAAAATCATCTTTTATGAAGGTAATATGCGATCATCTATTTCTGTAATGAAATATTAGTGCTGTGTAATTTTTAGGATTTGGTTGCAAAAAAAATTTTTTATTAGTCCTGGAAGAAGACGTGACTGTTTTAAATAGTTGGAGTCATATGCTATATTTGGACTTCCACGTGCTTTAAGTCAGTTTTTTGGAATCAAATTGAAAACATGTAGTCCCCATTGCCTGAACTGAATTTATTTATTTAAAATGTTTATATTCTTCCATTCAAATAAGAAAAATGTCTGAAGGGATTCAAAGACATTAGACATGTAATAATACATTAATTCCATGTATATTAGTTTAATAAGAGAAATTGTGGTTTTCCAAATTTTTAAGCATAACTCTTTTTTAAATCTCAGATTTCATCTTGAAAATGTAAAATCCAATTTGTTCACTTTGTTTAAAGCATCCCAGTTCTTTCCATTTAAAAGTATTAACACTGCTGTCCCCTCAATATTTTTGGGTTTAAAGAGGGAAAATACATCAAGGAATCCCTCAGAATTTGTGATCATCCTAACTGGGCCTTTATCAAATCCAAAAAAAAAAAGACCCAACAAGATCTTCTCCATTACAGACAAAGAAGAGAACAACAAACATAGCCATGTCAATCATTCCATACGTGGCAGCGGTAGCTGAAACGCTCAGGAGGATTTTCAACCAACATAACATACATTTACACTTTAAATCCAAGAATAGACTAAGGCAGAAGCTTGTCCATCCCAAAGATTAAACCCCCAGATACAAACAATGTGATATATGCAATACAATGCAGTGAGACATGTACAGATCTGTACATTGGTAAAACAAAACAACCATCTAACAATTGATCTACTGGTTTTCTTAGCACTGATCCCTTGGCATTCAGTGTTTTGTCAATTGTTAACTTGCATATATCCTTTACCACCAATTACAAAACAATGTCTTAACGCTTCTGATTTTTTTTCTCTTCCCCCTCTCCCTTCTCTCAGTTTTACCAGGTAGCTAAAGACTGGTGGATTTTTAGCTTTTATTTCTGTTTGCCACTGCTAATCACTGCTCTTTTCTATACTTTGATGACCTGTGAGATGTTAAGAAAGAAGAGTGGGATGCAGATAGCATTAAATGACCACCTGAAACAGGTAAAAACAGAAATGAAAGGTGTATTATACACCTTTCAAAAAGTGTATTATACTGGTATCATGGGTACAGTTTCAAACACAAAGTTAAAACTTAAAATACATTTTTAATAAAGTTTCCTTCCCAAATTTCCTATAGAACCATTGCCATTTTCTATAACAATAGAGAATAAACAGGCTTGATTTACAGAGGTAAGGTATGAAAACTAAAATAAAATATGGCAAGGATAGACAAAGAAGATAGTGCAAAAAAAAGTTGAGGGACAGTTTCTTTGCTTTCAATGGAGAATTTAGTGCCATAACAGCTTTGCTTTTCTAGATGTAATCCACTTCTGTTGTCTAGGCCAGGGGTGTCAAATTTGATTTTATTGAGGCCCACATCAGGGTTGTGTTTGGGGGGCCGTATGTGTGTGTGTGGCCATTGTTGTGGCCGGAGTGGGCATGGCCAGCATGACATCACCTACCCGGGCTCCATTTTCAGCCACGATAGCTTCCTGAAACCCACTGCCAGAGAAAACGGAACTCAGGGAGACCACATGCAGCCGACCATCTTGCCTTTAGAAATGGAAGATGCAAGATAAAAAAAGTTGTAGCTGTTCTGACCCAAACCTGGTTTCCAGAGAGCAAACACAAGACAAAGGTACCAGCACAACCTTTTAATGTTTCATGTACGAATCCTGTTTCTTCACAGATAAATGGCTGCTTCCAACTAATTAGCTCTGATAAGGAAAAGCCTTGCCAAGTTTTTGCATGGCTGCCAAGAACAACAGATAAGGTTCCTAAACAATAAATCAAAGAGTCTCCAAACACGAACTCAGATATTCTAACATCCACCAGGCTCGAGAATCACACTTCTTTGCCTTCTGCAAAGAACTCCGGTTTCTCAGCTGGCTTTTATCTTCTCAGGGAGGGGCCATTAACTTGCAGCCTTACTCTCGAGTCGCCCGGGCTGCTGCAGCTGCTCTTTCCTTCGAGCAGCCCTGCATGCGCACACACTGGGCACAGGCTCCTCGGGGACCTCTTCATCATTGCTGCCAGCCTCCACAATCTCCAAAGACAGCATTCCACTCCCTGATGGTCCGGTCCCATCCTTGCATCACACACAGGCCTCACTCTTTGAGACTTCAGCTGTCCACATCTGCTGCCGGCGAACCATAACAGTAACTCTGGAATAAGCTCTGGAATAAGATCCCATACCCTTCTGAAATCTGGGAGGGATGAGATGTTTATTCCATCCTACAAATGACAGAAAACCTGTTTATAGGCAACAATTGCTCAGTTACTTATTATTTGTGTCCTGGGGCTACACCAAGTACAAAATACTTGAATAAGACATCTGCAATGCATCTTAGTGCAAGTGTAGCATGCTTTCTCAAAGTGTTAAAAGGAACCCCCCCCCCCAACACACACACTTTGACTTGCATAGTTAAAGGAGCCACTTCTGCTAGCCAAGCCAAGTCAAGCCATTATGAGATTAGCCACATAACTATGGAGCCGAAGACAAGCTTGAAAGCAATTGTGCAAATCCTAAGGATGCAGTCTTCTCCTACTTAAAGGGTGCATAGTCCTTTGTTGTTGTGTTTCACCGGCAGCAGGTGCAGATGGCTGAGGTCTCTGAGAGCAAGGACTTGGATGAGGGCCTGCATGTGATGCAGGGATGGGGCCAGGACTATTGAAGAGTAGAGTGCTGCCTTTGGAGCTTGTGGAGTCTGGCAGCAGTGACAAAGAGGACCCTGGGGTACCTGTGCTCAATGCACATGCGCGCAGGGCTGCTCGAAGAAAAGAGCAGCTGAAGTCGCACAGGTGACGCGGGAGTAAGGTTGCAAGGTGATGGCTCCTCCCACAAGGGATAAAAGCCAGCCTTCAGGGTTGGCTTCTTTGCAGGAAGCAAAGAAGTTATTTCAACTCCAAGTTCTCGTGGAAGTCCTGTCTGCTCTGATTTGTGTTTGGAGATTTTTGGTTTGGAATATTTCTCTACAGTTAATCTTGTATTCTTGGCAGCCTTTTGTAACCTAGAAAGGGCTTGCTCTTATCTGGGACAATTAGTTTTAATGACTCTTTGCTGTGAATGAACAGAATTCACAGAGACACATTGAGAAGTTTTGCTTTCATATATACTTTGTGTTTATTTGATTTGAACAAGGCTTGGGTCAGAACATTTGTAAATATATTTTGTGAAGAGTCCCTTTCAAAGGGTTTGCACAGCCCACATAGTGGCTCAATAGTAACTATATATCACTGAAGTATTCTAATGAAGCCTGGAATTGCAGAAAGTCTACCCAGTGGGTAGCAGTTACAATTAATTCTTTTTGCTGATTCAATTAAAATCATTTTAAGTAAGTTAAAAACAATTTATCACACAAATACATTTTTGTACTGAGTTGGGGAAGAAGTGGAAAATTGTTCGTTCCCCACTTTCCATCACCACAATTCCTTTGTATATACTTCCTAGTAGCTTTTCCTACTATTAATTTGGAAGTAACATTCCAATAGATGGAACGTTGATGCACGTGGAGTAGAGAAATAGCCAGGGGTAAATTATGTGAAAGCCTATTTATTTGGAATGGGTATGCTTAAATGATAGAAATGACATACGTTCTATGCATGTCAGCACATTTTACATACTGAAATGTAGACGGACTTTGCATGGAGCCATATGGTAAAACAACATTGGTAAACAACACTGGTAAAAACAGAATGGTAAAACAACATTGGTAAACAACACTGGTAAAAACAGAATGGTAAAACAACATTGGTAAACAACACTGGTAAAAACAGTATGGTAAAACAACATTGTGATTTCAGTATTCATCCTTAAGGATACAAGCAATCCTTGACTAACTACCTCATCTGAGCCCAAATTTTCTGTAGCTAAGTGAGACGTTTGTTAAGTGAATTTTGCCCCATTTTACAACCATTCTTGCCACCTTTGTTAAACGACGGGGTTGTTGAGCAAATCTGGCTTTCCCATTGACTTTGCTTGTCCGAAGGTTGCAGAAGGGGATCACATGCAATTGTCATAAATATGAGTCAGTTGCCAAGCATCTGAATTTTGATCAGGTGACCCTGGGAATGCCACAATAGTCGTATGAGTGAAAAGAGGTCATAAGTTACCTTTTATCAGTGCCATTGTAATGGTTACTAAATGAGCTGTTGAGGACTACCTGTATTTGTAACAAACCAGTACCATTAATAGCCATTAATATAGCCAACTATCTATTTGCCTTTATTCCCAATTGTGTGTTTGTTTGTTTTCAGAGACGTGAAGTAGCCAAAACAGTGTTCTGCTTAGTGGTTGTTTTCGCCCTATGCTGGCTGCCTCTTAACCTCAGTAGCATATTGAAGTTTGCTCTCTATGATCCCCAAAGCCCAAACAGGTGTGATCTTTTGAGGTAAGACTGTTACACCTTGAAATGAAGATGCAGAGCCAGATTTTGTGCTCTTTCAGCCATATGCAATCAGTGGAAAAACATGCAGGATTCTCAACGGGACTGAAGTTCTGTCCAAAATAAGTTATGTTAATTCTGTGTTAAAATCTGACTTTAGAAAAAAAAAGTATTTTCTCTCAAATGAAGGTTTAGTTTACTTTATTGTCATTGGACCTTGAACAACGAAATTGAATACCATCTTCAGTGTGCGTTATGACTATGAAAATAAACACAAACACACATCCTTCACATTCTATACATTGCATTGAACCCTTGATATTGCATTAATATTGTACTGTACAGTAGAATACAGTAGAGTTACTGTCCTGGGATAGAAGCTGTTTTTCAGCCTGTTTGTCCTTTATTATCCTGTGCCATCTGCCAGATGGTAATAGTTCAAAAAAAAGGGTTCCCAGGATGAGATGGATCTTTGAGAATGTTTTGAATTGTCTTAAGGCAGCGGGAGCTATAGAGCTCTTCCAAAGAGGGGAGAGGGCAACCAATGATCTTCTGGGCAATGACGTTAACCCTCTGGAGTACTGTCCTTTCTGCCACTGTGCAATTAAAAGGAAAATCCTTTGAAAAAGCAGGACAAAAAAAAATCAGTGTAGCATCATATTGAATGTCAATAGTTCCATGTGTAATCCCTGTTTTCTATAGGAGGTACATCTTTATGGTTTTAGCTGGTCTTAAATTCCCATCTGTTCTCCTAAAGAGAATATGATACATAGTAGTTCCAATAAACTACTACTGCTCCCTACTCAATCTGGGACATCATATATACTTGTTAATATTTCATTCCAGAATTAGTGGTCAGATCTTGCCAATGCTATAAAGAACCATCTGGAAGATATACACAGATGCAGTTGATTCCCGGAAGATTCCTGCATAATAATCCCAAGGATATAACTTTTTAAATAAGGTTGAGACAGTAGGAATGCAATGTGTTTTTGCATGAAAGACTGGAAAACCCTTCTCCCATGGATTTCCTTAAAGACAACTGAATGCTTTAAGAACCTTTGGGAATTATGAATCCCGTTACTTATTCAGTGCAGGAATGCACCTTGGAGCTCTCAAGATAGTATCTTCTGTGAGGTAGTTTCCCTAAATGTTTCCTCTCCATTGATAAACTGGTTACGTACTAATCCATAAATTTACTTTCAAGAATCAGTTTTCTTTCAAACAGGTAGAATTCATTCAGATGGTTGCTTAAAAGATAGCCATTTACGTTTACTTTTTCTGACGCTGCTTTCCCATCGAAGCAATTCCTAACAAGACCTTCTGTTTTGCCTGTACGTGCAAAAGGTCACAACACTTCACCCATCATCTTACTAATTTTGACCTTTCCCTACTTGTTATTTTACAACAAAGTCACAATTTACTTGCTGTGTTTCATGATCAAGGGAGTATTTGGGTTTCCAGACTTGTTCCCTCCAAAACCTACTATATCTGTCTGACAACATTATGTTGCCTGGTCATCTTGTAATCCTTATTATAATAAACTTTCAATCTTTTGGGTTTTGGCACAGTTTTTTGCTGGTGATGAACTACATTGGAATCAATATGGCCTCTTTAAATTCCTGCATCAACCCAATTGCTCTCTATTTGGTGAGCAAAAGATTCAAAAACTGCTTTAAGGTAAGATTTGTTTATTAAATCTTATAACAAATGACGCTAAATGGCCATCAGATGAAACCTCTTGCTGAAGAAATTAAATTCTGTTTTTAAAACATGCAAAAGGTCATTTTTCAGGGACAAGCAGTCACATTAACTAAAAGGAAAAGCTTTCTTTCCGAAGAAATGGACTTTGAAATTAGGCAATCTAGAGAATTGGATCATTCACTAGAGTGAAACAGCGAATCATAGAGGGCAAGAATAGGGAAAAGCTGATAATAATAATAATAATAATAATAATAATAATAATAATAATAATAATAATA